TGTAATACAAGCACAAGCATTAAGAATATGTAGTGGGGCTTTTAAAAGAACATCTGTGCCAGCATTGCAGGTAGAAATGGGGGAAATGCCATTGGAGTTGAGATTACAGATAATGACATATTGGGCTAGTTTACAAGGACATAACCATCCAACAGTAAGTGCAATTGAGCCATGCTGGGAACATGGAAAAACGCTAACAAAGAGCTTTGGTTGGGTTGCTAAGGAGAAGGCTAGGGAATTGGGTATATTGGATAGGAGTTATTCTCCAGCAGTGGTTCTGCACTGTAAAAAAAAAAAAAAAAAAAAACCTTGAGAAAACTTAAAATATCAAGTCAACTTGATGCAATCGATTTTCAAGTTCTCAACTTTTGACTACAGTAGTTGACTTAACTAAGATTTACAAGTTTGGACAAAAGTTCTGCCAACTTCAATTTTCTTGTTCACCAAATTATGAAATTCCTGTGAGGCCAACGATGAAATTCTTGTTTCAGTGCCATGTATTTCTACCTTTGACAAACACAGATATTTGTGTTGAATAAATATACAATTCTTGTTTCAGTGAGACAAAAAAATTACGTTAAAAATCAATACAAATTGATGTTGCTATATAATTGTATTTCGAGTTCTGCCAACTTAATTTTCTTGTTCACAGAATTATGATATTTCTGTGAGGCTAACAATAAAATCATTGTTTCAATGCTATGTATTTCTGCCTTCAACATACATAATTCTTGCTTCAGTGAGATAGAAATTTTCCTAGATAACTCAATGAAAATGTAAGTTGCTGTAATTGTATTAAAGGAATTCTCAATAAATACATTATTAAATAAAAAAGGCACACAGCTCAAAGTTAGCTAAAACCTTGTTTATTTCTCCTTTTGAACATGAGTTAAAAGTACTCAATGAGGTCTGTCTGGCCTTCAGTAAACAATGGACACGCGCGCGCACGCACGCACGCACGCACGATGTGTCCCTATTGTGAACTGGCAACTGACATTTCTTCAAATTCTGTGAATCTGAGGCAAAGGTGACTTAAAAGGTTACACATGAGAACAAACAATGCACTCAAACAGGAACAAAACAAAGCATTATGTCCTGTCTGGCTTCCCCATCAGATTTAGAGCAAAAGCTTTGTTTTCAGAGACCGTATGCGCTGCGAGCATCGAGAGCCAAGCTCGAAAAAGATCGTTTGAATCCCTTCGAAGGTATACCTCATCTCCTTTGGACAGTCAATGTTCATGACATACAGTAGGCCAAAGAGGTATGCAAAGGCAGTACAGATGTCTGGTAGGTCTTGAAGCACGATGGTCCCTTCCAACACAACCGCTACATCTCGCACGTTTGGTGATATGGCAGCATCATCATCTTCAATGATGGTGAGGATGGCAACAGACACCCCTCTGAGCACTCTCTTCTCATGGTCAGTGTCCTGAGGAAAAGCAACACATGCATGATTGAGTGCTAAGGAAAGATTAAAGACAAAATACATTTCTACTCATTCTAACTTTAACTTTCGTACCACTCCGCTTGTGGACGTTTTAAAAACAAATCTTAAAATTGTGACTCAACAGCACAGTTGCTATCACCCACCAATGGGACAGTATAGGAATTTATCGTGGATCACAATTAAAACACTCACAATAAGTTGATCGTGAATATCCTCATGAGTGATTTGAAAAAGCTGTCTAGCTTGCTATCATGGTGGAGGACTGAAAAATAGAGCCTGATTTTAAAAGAAATACACGAATTATCGCATCAGAAATAACAGACTCACAAATTTTTCTTATTTAAGCAGGGGTGTCTTATAATGTATGATTACCTTATTTGAGATTGTTTGATTTGTTTTTCACCAAAAAGGACATCCACTTAAAAAATATAAATAAATATATATAAATAAAAATGTTCGTTTCTTAACAAAAAGTAAGATTATGTAATTCCAGTGTATTGTAGTGCCGTTGTACAAGTTGTTATCGTGAATATTTTGCCCAGAATAATCATGTCATGAAATTTTCATTTTCTCCCATGCCTGCCCACCAACCTTGTTGTGACTAGTATTTTTAAGAAATATTTCTGCCAAGGAACAGCTAACAATGGCTAAAATTTGGGGAAATGGAGGCTCTACGTGCTGTATTGAAACTGTTTACATTTTTACAACCTTGTCCTCTCCTCAAATGCTCTGTGTTCAGCAGCCTGCAATTCAGTCGAAGCTTCACGCTATTTTTGTCAAATGACTGTTGGTCTCAGCCAAATCAATCATGGCTTCTGAGTTTTGCTGAAGAACGCAGAATTTAATGCTTTTTACAAGATCTGGTTAAAGCAAAAGGATTTTTTGTGACGAGATTTTAAATGAGACATGTTGAATAAAATGTCTTTGATTAATTATCACAATTTTACTTACCAAACACTCCAGGAAGAACTGTGTTGGGTCGTCCCGGACAAAGATAGGTAGGCCCCTCAGTGCTGCTGTCTATCGGTGAGACACAATGTCCGATGTCTAAGGACTATTCAGTGGAAAACACAAAAGCATAACAATTAGTCTAGTGCCTTAGTGAAGTTCTGAAAATCTGGCATTATTTATAGTAATGAGGAGGATAAAGCTCAGGTCAGAGTATCATGACCCAGACCCAAGTATCATGCTTAAGAATGGAAAAAAAAAAACCCTCTAATCCTGCAGGCAATTTTACTTTATACTTTTACGAAATAAAAATACTATTTTCAACTGGGGAGAAAGGCTTTGGTGGACAAGGCTTAAAATAGCAAGTGCTCAAAATGTTGAGGTCAAAGTGAAGACTGGCCAACAGGTTAACTAATGCATGCCCTTAGTTTCAGGCACTTCACTCACCTGTTCATCAAGCTTTTCCAGGAGGTCTTCCATCTTCTGACCAAAAGCTCCCTTCCTTGTCCGGTAAAGTCTCAGCAGGTGGGGCACATATTTGTCAAGGGATGCACTTAAAGTCCCCAGGAGGTCTCGGCTGGTGATCCGATGGAATTCTTCAGATATCTTAACAGAATAACAAAACAATGAAATGCAATGTGTACATAACATTCCTGGGTTGCAGTCTTGTTCAAAGTATGCACCATTTTAAAAGGGATAGTTTGGATTGTTTGAAGTGTATTTGTATGAGGTTCTTCTCCATAGTCAGTGTAATGCTGTAGATGTATTTTAGACACCTAAATAAAATGTTTATCAGTTTAAGTGCAAGCTAAATTTAGAATTTTTTTTCAACTCTTTATCCTGCTGTCAGACAAACCTTACTGAAGGGGAAATGAAGCCTTTATCAATGCTCTACTCAAAGCCATCAGACAAATACAGTAATTTACCTCACGGAACACAGGAGTCGCTGGCCTGCCACTGCCTTGATCAGTTAGTTTACATTACTGTGACTTTAGAGGTTAGTTTGGATTAACCAAAGTTTATTAAACCTTTGTTTCTTTATAATGCATGTAATACTTAACTTGTATGTTTACAGAGCTTGTACAAAGGTAATATAGTCCATGAATAAGAGATATGAGATTACAGATAATTACAATCCCTCCTCTATAGTAGAGGTTGGTTTATGGCTTTTAGCCGGTAACACCTACAGTCTATGGGCGTATCTATGAGTTACACTCGCTGTCTTTTTGATTCCTCACAGTTCATTATAATTGTACGCACTCTGGTGTTTCAGAGAATAACGCACAGCCCATACAGTATAAACGCCTCGGTTCTTGTTCGGAGCTCACACGCGATCTGCAAGGCTCGCACTACGGCGGCAAGCGCGAGTATAAACAACGCTTTACCAGTTCACACGCGCCACCAGTCACAAACCCCCGCAACACTGACGTTAAAGAATGCTTCACATGCCGGCTTTTTTACGCTGAACAAAGTGACGTATAACACAACAGTGTCGGCGCCAACAGCGGCCGGCTCCCGCATTTTAACATACGTTAATTCAACATGTTACTAACGTTACCACCGCTGCCGCCCAAACGGAATGATATTACCCCATATCTCATGTACCCACGTTATACACAAAACATACATAACGTCACATACATTACCGCAGTAAAGAGGCTGTGAATAATTTTCTAACTGGCTTGTACATGAACGTAACCGCCATACTGGACCGTGTTTTAGCCGGGTAAACACTGGGAAAGACCGACCTGTGTTAAACAAATACAATTCAAGTGTCCACTATAGCGCTGGCGCATTGTCGAAGCAGTAAATGCTGCATGTAACGTTAGCCGTAAACATCACCGTTATACCGTTGTATCGGGGCTTACATAGTATTCTACACACAGTTAATAACGTAGCAAGCGTTAGCTAACAAAGCTACATGTGGTAGCTAGCTAGTTGAACTCATTGAATTCATCCGTCGGTTGAAATAGGTCAGTGCATATTACTGATAACATTGGTTGTCTAGTAAAAAACACACTTACCTAACTAGGGAAACTTCAGGTCGACAAAGACTTCGACACTGTCCAACTTCATGTCCAACTTCGGTCCCACGTAGTTAGACTTTACCAAGATGTCCGACCACCACGCTCCGCATCGCTGTAAGCACGCCCCGACTCAGACGCGAAAACCCCGTACATGACAGCAACACGCATGCGCGCCGTCGTTACGGGGTTTCCATCAAGAAAAATAAGGCTCCACTCAGAAATGCTTGTTAAACCGTTTTGAAATTGCTTATTAGGGCAACGATAGGGAGGAGTTTGCTGGCCGGCCCCGTTTTGTCAGTTGCATATGGAAAAGCTTTGTTTCTGAGTCAGGTTAATTTGAAAACAGTTGTGAGACCAACGATTGCTAGTTGGCATTTTTACAGTGTGCCAGCTATTCCTCCTTGGTTACTGCCACAGCCTGAAGTTGATCTTGGCCTCCTTGAAGTAATGAGAGATGAATGTGGGGGAAACTGTGGGATATTCAAGTCATACATCAGGAGGAATTATCACAATTATATACAAATTTATACAGATGGATCAAAAGACCCCAATAATGGTAGAACAGCAGCAGCAGCAGTAATACCAGAATTCCAGTATGAGTGTGGGAAGAGACTCAGTGATGACTTGTCTGTGTTTGCATGTGAGATGATGGCCATAGTTATTGCGTTACAGTGGGTAGAGGACGTCAGGCCAGAGAGAGTGGTGATTGCATCAGATTCATGTGCAGTACTGACGAATTTGAAATGTTGCCACTCCAGATGCAGAGAGGATTTACTGTATGAAGTACTACAAGCACTATTCAGAATCCATCAAATGCGGATGACGGTAAAATTTGTGTGGGTCCCTGCCCATGTTGGAGTCGATGGCAACAAGAAGGCGGATAAAGCAGCAAAAAAGGCTTTGAAGAGTGGGAGAAATATTGTTAAATTAAATAGAAGTAAGTCAGAAGCTAAAGTGGTGATTAAGGGACAAATCAAAAAGATATGGCAGACTGAATGGAATAAAGGGAGCAAAGGACGATATCTGTTTAAAAATAAACCATTGGTTGGGAGTGCAGGATCTAGTGGATGAAATAGAAAAGAGGAGAGGGTAATGACAAGATTATGGAATGGACATACTGGTCTTAACAGTTCCCTCTATGTTATTGGAAAACATAATAATGGAATGTGTGAATTTTGTGATGAAGAGGAAACTGTGGACCATGTTTTAGTGTCATGTCAAAGGTACGAGGCAGAGAGAGAAGTATTAAAAAGTGGTCTAAGAGAGATGGGAGAGGAGAATATAACTGATATATTAAAGAAAAGCTTTGGTGAAGAGTGTTGGAAGCCTCTTTGAGTTTTTGGAGTCAACAAGACTAGTGAATAGAATTTGAGAATTATATTTATTTTATTTTGTTTTGATTTATTTTATTTTGTTTATTTTGTGTTTGTTTGTTTGGTTTTCGTATTAGAGAATTACTTTCCTTAGTCCACACTCCAGATTAGTGGGTGGCGGTAATGCACCTAAAAGTTGCATTAAAAACAAAAGAAGAAGAAGAAGACCCGCCCTGCTCTGCTCCCAGTTCTGCCCGCGCAATACAAGCCGCATGTTTATATCTACCTCTGTACAGACGAAAGAATGCTTCTGATTTCGTAAGATACGGTATGTGAACGCTTGTGTTTAAATTAAAACAATGGTGCAGCTATTGAGGTAACGTTAAAGGGATGTTACGGCGGCAAATAGTCTCTATGGCTGACTTAAAGACGGTTAACTACACCCATCCGTAGCAAACGTAAGGTCATTTATCACCGGCTGTGCTTTCTCTAACTGGAGACCGCAGATTAGGTGTGCATTATTATTAATACGTTACCAATGTGAGGGCGAACTGCCTCTCTATGTCTCACTTTGATCAGCTACATATCTTGGACTGGACTGTTGGCTGGATGATAAAAAAGCTACTGGAAACGTTTTTTCCATATATTCTAATATTTTATAAATAAATGATTAATTAAGACAATAACCAGAAGACTAATGGATAATACAAGTAATTGTAGCAGTTTTTGTCACAACAGAGGGCTCTAAAGCCACATCCTGTTGATTACTGTCATGTGATTATTTCTGTCTGTGGAGTCCAACAGAAGGAGAGATCTCCAATTATCATTATTCTTGACCGGACATGGTCATATTTCTAACGAGTAGAAATCTGTTGAACTTGAACTTGGTTGAGCTGCTTTAACTGGGACTTTATAAATGTGAAACCTTGACCATTGCATTGTTAATGTCTAATCTTCCAGGTGTTGGGATCACTTCACTATGTTGATGAGCCCCGATCAGGAGGCCCTGATTGCCCGGGTGTTTGAAACCTATCTGACGGATCATCATCATACGGACATTCTCCAGTTTATTGCTGATACAAATGAAGAGACCCATCGTCCTGTGGTTGTTAATGCCATGACTTTGTTTGAAGCCAATATGGAGGTAATTGCAACACAATTCAAAACACAATCTACTGTATTCTAAATACATGCTTTAGTCTTGTTCAATTTAAGCCAGGCAATATGGTTCAAGTCTGTATGATATTATGAAGCATATTTTTCCTGTATGAATATATCACAATGTTACATATGTAATCACCTGTAAAATAATCAACTTAACGTAAATTCAATGTACTGTGTTTCTGCCATCAGGTATTGCATAAGACAGAATTCTTCAAATATTTAACAGCGAACCTTCAATACTCGTGAAGCCACTTTCTAATTACATTTTACTTGGAAAACCACAATTTTATAAATACACAGTATGATCTTATCAAAACATAGATTATTTGTATAAATACTCAACATCAGTTTTTCTTCAATGCACCTTTCCTAAGATTATGATTATGGAAACGAATCCATTCAGTTATGTGGTAGAAAAAAATCTTTTTAACCTCTGTGAGAAATAATCCCGATGGAACTTCTTAAAGTATTAAAAACATATTTAATGAACAGACACTTCAATCAAAATTCAGCTGAATGGATAGAGCTCTTTCCCCACGGATGGTTCGGAGGTCTAACAATAATCAAAAGACAAAACAGAGTATATATGCACGTTATCTCGTCTCCTCTCCCTTCACCCTCCCCCTCGCAGATGTTGGTATATGCAGGTTTAAGCGATACAAGTTATAACTAAAAGAACCATATGATAAATTTCCACAACAAGTTACAGCCCACACTAAGCTCCTAACAGCTAACCTGTCAATTCTCATGCTTTACCTGTAAATGCTAGTCCACATATCCATCAAGTTCTGTAGTTAATTTTGTTTCTAAAGATGTAAATCCTTCCGTGTGTTATCCTGCGTTGCTCTGGGTTATATGTCGTTTAATCAGCTTTTCGGCCTGAACGTCTAAGTCAAAGCAATAAATATCAAACTAGATATATAAACCTGGAACTGAACATCAAGTAACCATAACAAATCTAGTTGGGGGAGAGGAAAGTGAATCATCCCGTTATCAGTCTGAGCTTATGGCGCGTTTTACTTCTGTCAGCTAGTGTTCGCTGTTTTTAGTAAACCATTTTTTGTCTCTGAATTGAACATCCTGAAGTGAGATTTGGTGAATTATATTGTTGGAATATATTCTGTTCTGTGTTTTATGCCTGGCCAGGATTACATTGTTAATGCCACTCTTACAAATCATTCATGGTGCTGCATATTCCATGAGGACGACCCTAAAGTGTGATTTAATCTCATGAATGGATAGGGATGTGGCTGGATTATTTAGAGGTGAGGTCGCCAAATTGGTAAATAAATTAAAGTATTAGATGAATAATTTCTGTTCCACCCAGTCTGCTTGTCTATAGGGGTCAAAGAGCAGAGAGTGTTGTGTTGTATATTAAAGAGATAATTTAAAGTGAAAACGGGTCAGACATGACACCAATACCATTGGTCAGCTTGCTGCTCCTCGGGACCAAAAGGTATAGCCCACATGTTCCAACCCTGTTGCAAGAATAGTGTGTTTAAGGATTTCTCATGGAGTGGAGAATTCCTTTCTGAAAAAAGCGTCTCAAACTAAATAATAATTAAATGTAATTTAATGGCTGGAGGGCTCTGGGTGGCCAAACCGATCGGTTAACCTGTACCTGTTCTGATTATTATTATTATTATTAAGTGGTCACAGTCACGTAGCTCTCTGTTGCTCTGGAGGTCCACCCATCTGGTGATGGCAACATAGGATGCCTTAGAGCAGTGATTCTTAACCATGGGGCCGCGAGCGCCACGTAGAGGGCCGCAAAAAACTTTCAGTTTTGCACCTGTGGGCCGCGAGGGCCGCAGGACCGCATAGGTTATCAATTGAAGACACCAGAGATATTACTGTTATCCATGAGATGCTCAGTTACAATATAGCTTCCCACCACCTGGTGGCGGTAATGCGTCAGTCAGTTGTTTAACAAGCGCCAATAAGCAGAAGAAGACACTCAGCTAGCCGCTAGCCCAGGGGTCGGCAACCTGCGTCTCTTCAGCCCCTCTGTTGCGGCTCCCTGAGTCTACATCAGGGGTCCCCAACAGGCGGACCGGATCCGGACCCAGGCCCTAAATCCGATAGATAATTCGGAATTATACATATTAGGCACTGGGTTTATACTTTAACCGGCGCGTCTTATCCAGCCGTTACGGCACTTGTTCGGCGGTCGAAGAAGATATCTCGCATGACGATCGCATGATCGAAGAAGATATCTCGCATGACGTTCTCCAAAAAGAGAAACGTGTTCAGAGAGAATATAATTTATAAGCAAGAATGAACAGAATATTATATGTTAATTATTCCCACAGGCAGTCAAATCCTCTACCCCTGCCAAGCGCTTTTCCCTGCAGGTGGCTAATCATGATTTTCAGACCCCCGCCCTCTGTAAACTATCCATGGATAAATCCAAAAAAAGAAAAGTCACGGAGGAAAATAGAGAGTTTAACTCTGCGTGGACGTCTTCATTTGCTTTCACTGCCAACGATGCTGGCTTACCTGTATGCTTCCAGAACAAGCACACAGCATTTGCTGAAAAGTGTCAGGCTGGAGATGATTTCTCAGCTGCTGCAGCAAACTCTCCTCTTCATAAGAGGTTGATATTGTTATATCAGGTAAAATTGCAATAAAATGTCAAGAATTGTCTTTATTCTTGTTCTATATTTTCA